AAAAAGTGCTGTATAGGGTATATGAAATTAACAGGGTGGCACTGTAGTTTAGGGGTGTAGTTTTGATACTCTAAATCGACTGCTCTTTTGCATGGATGATAGTTTCTTAGTTCTCAAATCATTTAACAAACTCTTTGTCTCCCTTGGTTCTGTTTTCCTTTGAGATTCAGCATTCGTCATTTATACAATTTATTTTTCAGAATCACGTACAGTCTGTGCTGGAGAAGCTTGAGTTGGAGGAAAAAAACAAAAATGAGCAGGTGAGATGTATGTTTTCAAATCAACCAGAAAACGGTTTTCTATGAAGAACTGCCCTACCAGCCCACCTCCAGTCTCATTCTTGACAGTTCCTTCCACAGGAATAGTGGTAGCCAAATCAAATGAGAGTAGCAGAGTAGAACAAGTTCTTTCTGGAAATTCTCTCATTTAACAGATACTGAATGCCTATGAAATGAAAAGCACTAGATGCATGTTGTCGGGTAAGACAGATACTTGTCCTCGTGGAGTTAACAGCTTAGCAGGAGAGATTGATAGTAAACAGTTCATTCAAATAGAAAGATGAAAATTGTGAAGAAGTGCTGAAGGAAAATCATCCTATTAGAATAAGGAGATACGTGGATTAAATTGAGAGATCAGTAGCCCTCTCTAAGGTGAAACCTGAAGAGTAAGTCCACACAAAGAGTGGGATGACAAATCTGTGTGGAACGTATGCAAGGGAAAGAATGCGGCCTTTCTTTTTTTTTTTTTTTGTACAATCTCTGGAGTATTTAAAGCAAGGGAGAGAGTGGCTTTAACTTAAAGTTAGAGAAGTAGGCAGAGGCCATAGTGTATGGTTCCTTGAAAGCCATGATAAGAAGGATAAGTTTCAGTATTAAGTACAAAGGGAAGACCTTGAAGAGTTTTAAGCAGGAGAATCACATCTAACTTAAAAGTTTTGAAGAGTACCCCTACGTTTTTTTAGATTCTTGCTATAGGGCACGTGCACTCGCCAGAAACACAGAGAGATACAGAGAGACAGAAAGCAAGAAATCACCCCCCCAGGGGGGATGGCCACGCCGCAATCCCTTCTCCTCCATTCTCCTCTCGGTATCTTGCGCACGCACGCACACGCACCTGGCGTGAGTTTTAAGCCACCGGGTCCGGGACGCGAACCACAGTCGACTACATGGGAGTCCAGCGACGTAGACATAGCCATTACGCTAACTGCTGGTCCCACTCCTACTCTTATCTAAGGAACAGATTATAGGAGTGCAGGAGTAGAAGTCAAGAAGTCAGGAGGCCGTGTAGTAGTCTAGTAAGAGAGAATGTGGACTGGCCAGTGACATAGTGGTTAAGGCAGGTAGATCCCACATGGCCAACTACATGGTTTGAGTCCTGGACCTGGTGGCTTGAAGAACATACTGGATGTGTGTGCATGTGGTCCAAAATCCCAAAAGGAGGGAGGAATGGAGAGAGGGGATTATTGTATAACCATTCCCCATGGAGGTTGCTTTTTCACTTTCCCTCTCTATCTCTCTCCAGTAAACACACATGGCCTCTGACAAATTAAAAAGAGAGAGAGAGAGGATGGTAACTTGGACTAAGATAGTTGCAGTGGAGATAGAAAAAATACAGATTTCTAAACTGCAATAAAATATTTTTATAACAGCTTTGAGATATAATTCACATACCATATAGTTCAGTGATTGAAACTATACAAGTCAATGGCTTTTAGTAATAGTCAGTTATATACAATATGACTACAGTCAATTTTAGAGCATGTTCATCATCGCCAAATGAAACTGTGTACCAGTTAGCAGCCACTCCCCATTTTCCTCAGATCTCTCCCTTGCCTACCTCTAGGTACCACTAATCTATTTTTTATTAATATGATGCCTATTCTGGTTATTTCATACAAGTGGACACATACGTGATTTTTTGTGTTGGTTTCTTTCACTTGGCATTTTTTAAATAATTATTTCTATTTAATTTTATTTATTATCATTGTTATTTTTCAATTTGCTACAGGACATGTGCGCTCACCAGAGAGCGAGTGAGCAACAGAGACAAATTGAGAAAGCAAGCTTTCCAGTCTGGGATACGAACCGTGGTCTGCCATGTGGGAGTCCACCATGCACCTGGTGGTCCCCACTTGGCATGTTTTTGATGTTTATCCATGTTGTGACATATATCAGTACTTTATTCCATTTAAGACTGAATAATATTCCATTGTATGTATATACCAAAATTTATTTATCTACTTAACCATTGATGAACATTTGGATTATTTCCAATTTTTAGCTATTACAAATAATACTATGAACACTGATATATAAGAAAATGTATTTTGGGGGACCAGCAGTTAGCGTAATGGCTATGTCGCTGGACTCCCACATAGTCGACCACGGTTGGAGTCCTGGACCCGGTGGCTTAAACTCAGGCCAGGCGTGTGCGCATGCGTGCCCATGATCCCGAGAGGAGAATGGAGGAGAAGGGATTGCGGCGTGGTCATCCCCCCCTGGGGGGTGATTTCTCGCTTTCTGTCTCTATGTCTCTCTCTGTCTGTCTGGCGAGCGCACGCGCCCTATAGCAAAAACCTCTCCAAAAAAAAAAAGAGAGAAGAGGGCAACATGGGGTAAGTGAGGATCAAGTAGTTGTACAGAAAATATATGGTGACTTCAGCCGAACACTATTGAGGATAACAATTTAAAAGAGATTGGAGGTTTTATTGTAAGGATGAGCTTACCAGAGTCCTTCATGTAGATCCATTGCTCCCCATCCCTATAAGACCAGGGATATTTTTATTTTTATGATCTATATATTCCTTTTCTCTCAGCAAGTCACTTATCTAAGTACTGCTTATTAACAACTTTATGAACAGTTAATGCCAAGATTGGTTCAGTACTCACCAAACATACTTGTTTTCATTTGTGTAAAGTAGTTAGTATCAGAGAGTGCTATTTTTAACATAGGAATGTATTGATAATTATAAACTTTATTCAGAGTCCCTTATGCTAGCTCATTTATTCAACATAGATTTATTGGGTCCCTACTTTAAGCTAAGTTCTGCAGGGAGCTATGAAATGCTCATGATATAGTCTTTTGTCTTCTGATGGGGAGAAATCCTGAAAGGAGTAGAGATCTTTTAAAAAAAAAAACATATTTAATTTATTACTATTTTTTGACCAGAAAGAGACAGAGGGAAAGTGAAAAGGCAAGCCACAAGGTCTGAGACTCTTAACGATGGTCAGCTGTGTGAGAGTCCAGCAACTCAACCACCACATCACCTGCCAGCCCTCTTTTTTTTTTTTTAATTACCAAAGCATGTGTGAACTCACCAGAGAGGGGAAGAGTGAGAAAGCACCCAACATGGGATGAACTTATGCTGCTTTTTTTCCCCCTCTATTTCTCCATCTGGTCAGGATCTTGGGCACCACACATATACACACACACTCAACATGTTTTTCAAGCCACTAGTGCCAAGATTTGAAGTATGTTGGCAATATGACATCTGACTCCCATAACCAGTAGGTCATGGGGTCAGCCTAAGGCATAGGGATTTAAAAGAATGAGAACTCACTTTTGTCCACAGAAAATTCATTAGGGAAGCCTTCATGGGGTTGGTGTTTGATTAGGGGCCTTAAGATGTAGGTCGGGTTTTAATAAAGAGATAGAGAAAGGAGAGCATTCTGTGAGAAAACAGCATGCACAATGGCTCAGAGATAATGATGCCAGACAGACTTTATATTTTTTTGTTGTAGGTCAAAATGAACTCTCAAAGCTTAAAAAAAATTTTTTTTTTTCTTTTCCTGAAAGCATGTGCACTCACCAGAGGTAGAGAGGAAAAGTAAGGAAGCATCCCCCACATGGTATGGTCATGTCACATTCCCTTTTCCATTTCTCATTCCCTTCAGGATTTTGGGCATGTATACATGCACGCATGCACACACACACACACACACACACACACACACACACACACAGTGTTTTTCAAGCTGTCAGGTCCAGTACTCGAACCCTGCAGTGAGCCATAAGTGATCTAGCTGTCCTAATCATCAGGCCATGAACTGGCCCACCTCAAAGCTTTTTCTATGTGGAGAATAACTTGGGAAGATTTCTCTACCAGCTGTATATAGGAGAAATTGGAGTGGAAAGAGATTAGAGGAAAGAGCAAGTAATAAAAGGGACCAGAACTTAACAATTGGTTGGATTTACAGAGTAAAACGGAGAACAAAGATGAGCCCAAAGGCTAGGCAACTGGTAAACTGTCTTTCATTAACTTCTTAACTGAAGTTAAGGCAACAGGGAGAAGATTTGGGGGTGTGGAGAATACAATGAGTTTAGTCGGAAGCGCTTTTGAAAATGGAGATCGGAGAGAGGCTCATACACAGAAAGGATGGTTGAAGTTGTAGGGCTAGATGAGTTCCAGTTGGAATCTGAGAGGAAACCTACCTTTGAGGGTAGTGGTGGGAGGAGAAAGCACACAAAGGAGAAAGAACTAGTGTAGTCCGTGTTTGTAATCATGGTCAGTTGGAGCTCACTCAGCAGCTATGTGAGAAGAGCCTCTACTGCAGCTAGCACTTACAGCAGTTTGGTAGGTGATACAATACAGCATAGCATTGTTTTATAATGCTCCATTTCTCTCATTTCACAGACTGGTATGGGGTGACTTAAATTGAATAATATTCAAAAACAATCTTTGACCTGAAGATGGTATACATTTCTGAATGTTATTAACCCTTTCAAGTTAAAAACAAATTAAATCCTATACCACAAAAGGTTCGGGGCTTCTGACTTAGAAAGTATAACATCTGTCTCCTGGTTGGTCTGGACTCTGACCTGGTTTCTAAGTGCCACATAATGTGTCATGAATTAGCAGAGAAGACTCGGTTTAAGACCCCATATATTCATTGGGAGAAGAGACTATCCTAACTGCTGCCTTATCTTGACTTTTAGCAGGTGACTACCATGATCCTCTCTTGCCCTTATAGTAAGCTGTGATCTCTGCATAGTCTTTGCAGAAGCACATTTTTTTTTTAAGTTTTTGCTATGGGGGTTGTTCACTTGCCAGAAAGGGAGGTGAGAAATCACCTCCCAGGAGCAATAGCTACACTGCAATCCTTTCTCCTCCATTTTCCTCTTGGGATTTTGGACATATGCCCAATGTGATTCTCAAGTTGTGGGATCCAGAGCTTGAACTGCACAGTCAGCTATGTTGAATCCAGCCAGCCACCTTAACCTCCATACCACCTGCTGACCCAAGAAGCACAGATTATTTTTTTTTCTTTTTTTTTTTTTTTGAGAGTTTTTTTCACTATAGGGCGCATGCGTGCGCCAGACAGAGAGAGACAGAGAGACAGAAAGTGAGAAATCACCCCCGGGGGGGGGCGGTCACGCCACAATCCCTTCTCCTCCGTTCTCCTCTCGGGATCTTGGGCACGCATGCACACACACCCAGTGTGAGTTTTAAGCCACCGGGTCCAGGACGCGAACCACAGTCGACTACGTGGGAGTCCAGCGACATAGCCATTATGCTAACTGCTGGTTCCCAAGAAGCACAGATTCTTAACAGCAAGTATATTAAAATTTTTAGAACATATTCAATTTTAAAGTCTTTGTAAGATTGGGATAATAAAAGACATCATGGCCATAGCATTGTACATGGATTCTTGGTACTTTTCTTTGGAACATCAAAAGACTATCATAACCTTACAAATGCCACACGACAGTAGTTCTTTTGGGTTCATATAATGAATGTATTGGGTCATTAGAAAAGTCGTGATGCATTTGTACACAGAAAAAAATAGAAAAATACATCATGACTTTTCCAATAATTTAAGATTTCAGATTAATTTTTTATATTTTTCTACCACTTCTGACAGCTCGTTTTCCTACAAGAAAAACTGAAATATTTTCTGAAGAAATGAAGATAGCCTTCAGCCTGGCACACAAACCTTGGATGTGCCATCAAGACTGAAGACTGGAAGAAATTATGCATGCTTCTACTCCTTCTGTTGCCTTACATTGGATTAGTTATATCTGTTTCTCTGAGCCTTTTTTTTGCCAATTATAATGTTTGAGCTTTGTAGTCATAGAAAGGGACCGCATAAAAAAGTAGCAGACTTAGATCCCACTATATCATGGGACTTTGCTTCTGCCATTTGAGAATCACATTGTTTCTCTGCTGTGTGTTGCAATCAGATGATTCAGCCATGCATGCCAAAATCTAGCCTAGAGGCCACACAGCTGGTTTGCATATATTTTAGTGTCTCCAAACTCTCCTGTTTAAGTATTTACTAAAATATAGAAGAAATATCAAGTCATTTCTACCAAGGGCTAGGACCTGCCACAGTGAATTTAAGTGCCTACCTCGCAGCAGTTAATATTAGGTTGTGTCCTGTCTGTTCAGGTAATAGGGCTGCTTTCCTGCTCAGGGATGATTTCTTGCTGCTGCCTATCTTTAGTCTGTTGTGTTTTTAGGACTGTGGCTAGTTGTTACTCAACTAAGAGAACAGTTAGAGCAGAGATGAAGAAATTCTGAGCCATTCCTCTTTTGAGCCTTCTCATACTAACCCATATTAGAAAAGGTTAGGAAAAACCAGATCCCTGTAATGCCTATTAAGATTTCCTCAACAACCCTGGGTGGTGGTGGTGGTGGTGGTGGTGGTTGTTACTGTTGTTGCTATTGTTATTTTCTAGCTATATTATTAAGATTTTCTTATATGTATTCTTTAAGCAATAAATAAATTCTTAACTTTTCCATGGATTGCTATCAATTAAACCACCCTCATAATGAACACATTCATCCAAAAAGAAACAAGGAGACAAAGTAAACTCATGTCTTGGATTTTTTGGATTGCTATAACAAAAATACCATGGACTGGATAATTTATAAATAACAGAAATTTGTTCCTCACAGTTCTGTAGTCTAGAAGGTCCAAGATCAAAGAACCAGCAGATTCAGTGTCTGACGAGGGCTCTTACCTGCTTCACAAACGTGCTTTCACATGGTGGAAGGTGCAAACACACCTCCTTTATAAGGGCATTAATCCCATTCACAAGGGTTGAGCCCATATAACCTAATCATCTTCCAAATACACCATCTCTTAATACCACCACATTGCAGATTATGTTTCAACATGTGAATTTTGTGGAGAACAGATTGCAGACCATAGCATTCTATGATCAGGAAATGTCAAAAGATGCTGTCAGTACCGGGGCATCCTTCCACAGAATTTTTAGAATAATTTATAATGAACTAAGCACATCATCTCATATTCACCATGTAGAATTGGAATTTGGAGAGAAGGGGTATGGAAACGTGATACAAGTGGCAACTCCAATATTTGGATTGAATTAACATGTTACAGTAAAACACATGGCTGGAATCCCAGCTCTGCCATTCACTTGGGCAAGTCCCTACACCTCGAGAACCTTTACAAGGGACTTTTAAGCAGCTGATGGGAAATGGAATTTATGTTGATTTTGGTACAAAAGTTTTTTTTTTTGTTGTTTTTTGTTTTTTGTTTTTTTTGAGAGATTTTCACTGTAGGGCGCGTGCGCTCGCCAGACAGAGCAGTGGCTTAGAACTTACACCGGGCACGTGTGCGTGCGTGCCCAAGATCCCGAGAGGAGAATGGAGGAGAAGGGATTGCGGTGTGACCATCCCCCCTGGGGGTGATTTCTCGCTTTCTGTCTCTATGACTCTCTCTGTCTGGCCAGCGCACGCACCCTCTCGCTAAAACCTCTCCAAAAAAAAAGACACAGTTCCCATAAATATGTACAACTATTATGGGAGTAACCCAGTGTGTTATTCAAGCTGCATGGTCTGAGACTTGAACCATACAATCGGCCCTGTGAGATCCAGCAGCTTTATCCACCATCTCACAGCTGGCCCCCCCAAAAGTTTTTTAAATCCATGCATAGCTTTATTTTTTTTATTTTTTTGAGAGGTTTTTGCTATAGGGCACGTGCACGCGCCAGATAGACAGAGACAGAGAGACAGCGAGAAATCACCCCCCAGGGGAGATGGCCACGCTGCAATCCCTTCTCCTCCATTCCCCTCTCAGGATCTTGGGCACGCACGCACACGCGCCCGGTGTGAGTTTTAAGCCACCGGATCCGGGACACGAACCACGGTCGACTAAGTGGGAGTCCAGCGACATAGCCATTACGCTAACTGCTGGTCCCCATAGCTTTATTTTTAAAAGAGATTTTTGCTAGAGTGCATCTGCTCACTGGAAAGACAGAGTGAGACAGACAGTGGGGATATTACCCCTCAGGGGGAATGGCCATGCTGCAATCCCTTCTCTATTCTCCCTGGACTTTGGGCACACATACACACACAACTGGTGCGAGTGTCAAGCCACCAGGTCCGAGACTCAAACCATGGCCAACTATGTGAGAGATCAGCAATGTAACCATTATGCCGTCTGCTGGTCCCCATGCATAGCTTTTTTTTTTTTTCAATCTCTAGAAAGTTTATTAGCCTGTTTAAAAACATTTTCTTGAGTAATAACAAAGAATTTCTAAACATGAATATCAGTGGCTGTACCTTACAACCAATTTTGGAATTGAATGGACAGCTTTATTGCCAATCTTCATTTTATTAACAACAATCTATTTATTGGTTCCATGAAGTCATGACTATTGCTTTGGGAATGAGTCCCTACTGCAATTAAGTATAAAAAATACCTTCCATCATAGTTGGAGTGTGACCTGCATTAGAGTATGACTGTGAGTACAGAGTTGATAAAAATCCACAAAGAATTGGATTTCTGTATTTTAAAAACATTCCTTTTACATACTACAGAGAAATAATTAGTATTTTGGCTTTTTAACTTCCTACGTGATATTTAGAATGGCAGTCCCCAAAAGCCCTTCCTTCCTGTAATTCTGAATGCTGACCCTCTACTGGAAAGTGAATTCTTGGGGTGGACTCTGAAGATTTAGTGTTTATAATGATTTGAGAACAATGCAGCATCCAGAACATAGAAGTCATTATATATGTCACCCTCACAAAGGCATTGCAGTCTGGTGAAAGCTTCAATAACAAAGCCAACTTTTCTGAAAACTTCAGGCAGACTATATACTTGTTAATTCCAATTCCGGCCCTTGATTTCCAAAATTTCTGATGGTTTCTCACACTTGTCACTGTCTTCCACATAGGGATGAAAGGGAAGGACCAGGGCAAAGACGACCGGGCTTCTAATTGGCTTCCAGACACTTCTATCTTTTAACAAAGTCAGAGGCTGGTCATAGCAATCCAGCAAATTCAAGCAGCTGATGACATCTTATTGGAACCCTGTATTCTGCCATTCATTTATACCAAGAACTCCGTATTTCTTCTTCTGAAGTTGTCATATCAGAGTTTCAGAAAGTTCAGTGGCATAGATTTCTTCAAAATGAGGGTTCATGGTTTTTGTGACTTCTCTGTCTCCAGCACCTGAATCGAGGAGTCTATGGGTTTTCCACTCTGGGTTAAGTTTAAGCAGTCTCTGAAACTGATCTGGTGAAAACACAAATGAGCCTCTTCCTAGCAATCCACTGATAGCTGTTCTAGACATAAACAAGTTAAAACCAGATGATACAAAAGAATGATGTATTTGGATAAATAGCCAGCTAGATTTCCCAATGCTGCTGTTCGAGATCTGTGTTCCTTGACCAAGGTAACTCTGAACAAAGACAGCCTGGCGTGATTAACATAATTTCTCTGTTACACACATGCCACTCCTCAGGCTGCAATGGAAGCTCTCACAACCTCAGGTCTTTCCTCGCCTTGGTCATTGTCTGTGGGCCCCTCATCCCACCCTCTAGCGTGACTTTTCACCTGGTCATGCAGATTGACCCAAGTGAGGGGGCAGTTTCATCCCTTTCACACATTCAGACACTCCATCCCATGTCCTTCCCACCATAGCTTTTTTATTTATAATGTTCATTTTCCATGAATTTTTTGAAGACCCCGTGTATTTCCTCACCTGTAAATCAAAGGCGGTACCCTATACCACCAAGAGGCATCTCAGTTTTCTGGAAGTAACCCAGCTAGCCCCAGGTCTTGTCCCAAGTTGACAAAGTCCCTGCCACCCTAGGGAACATACTCCCCAGTTCTCTGTGCCACTTTTAGTGCTCCTATCTCACATCCAAGTTAATAAACCATGGGTAGAGAAAAGGGGGACAATATGCATGGGCAGGACCTGTGGAGAAGGGGTAATGTCTGCATGATTGTTGTGGGGGGAGGTAAGAGGAAAGTAGGACAAAGGGAGAGAGGCATGTTAAGGGCAAACAGAATGAAGCCAAGATTAGGAGAAAACTTAGAGGACAGCTTGAAAACTAAGATGACATAAAAAAAAGATACTATTTTCAGAAACCTAAAACTTAAAAAAAAAAAAAAGAGTAAGGGCAAGGAAAATGGAGAAAAGTAATTGTCAGTAGCAGAAGGTGGGGAAATAGACTAAAAAAAAAAAAAAACAAGAGTAAGGACAAGGGGAAAGGAGAAAAGGAATTGTCAGTGGCAGAAGGTGGGGGAAATAGGCAGAGTCTGAAAAGATAGGCCTCTGGATTAAGGATGGCAGGGGACTGAGACAAACAGAGATAAAGTACTCAGGATAGGCTGGAGAGACTGAGGCCAGTGAAAGAGGCACATGTACTACAGGTGACATGCAGGGGTGAGAGAGATAGGAGAGCCTTAGGTGACCTCTGTCCTTTACAACAGCCTAAAAGCAGCCAGAGCTCTGCTGTGAGACAGGGTGGTAGAGAAGACAATATGACAGGAAAGGGTAAAGGCAAGCAAGTTTGTGTGCAATGCCCTTCTGTCCCCTCTGGTACTTTTTTTTTTTTTTCAGTTTCTGCTACAGGGCACGTGTGCTTGCACACGTGCGAGAGAGAGGGAAAGTGAGAAATCACTCCTCCTCGACCCCCCCTCCCCTGGGAGAATGGCCAAGCCACAATCCCTTCTCTTCTATTCTTGGGATCTTTGAGCACACATGCACTGGGTGTGTTCTCAAGCCCGTAGGTCCGGGACTTGAATTGCAAAGCTGGTCATGTGGGATCCAGCGCCTTAACCTCCACACCACCTGCTAGTCCCTCTCTGCCACTTTTAATGCCACTCAGAGGAACTGTTTCATTCTCCCCATCTCCCCAGCATGGACACATAGCATACCCACGCTCTGACATCTCATGAAATTTTCCTTTGCTATAAATCAGTGATTCTGACTTTTGCTTGCTACAGAACGGTACTGTCCAATGTGGTAGTCACTAGCCATGTGTGACTTTTGAGCACCTGTCATTTGGCTAGCCTGCACTGAGATGTACCATAAGTATAAAACACATATTGGATTTCTATAGGGCTAGTATCCTGACAACCTTGCACTATCCACACAGGCCGTGTAGGCAAGGCTCAACTGCAGGCTGACCCAGGTCCTGGCTGAACGCCCTGTGATCCTCCCCAAAATATGGGAAGACAGGCAGTCTTGTGAAGAGCTGCTACAAGATCATTCTCACTCGCCTCCCTATCTTGAGGGAGGCTACCATGAGACAGTTTCTCATCCGCCTACCTCATTCCAGTAAGGTACAGGGCCTCCTGCCCGTCTTCTACCCTATGGAGAACAGCTGCAAGCCATAAAACTGCTTAGCTGAAGTGAAGCATTGGCTCAACAACAGGGGGTTCTACTATTCTTGTTGCACATCACCTGGTCCCTTTGGTTTCAGTGGGGTCCTGTGGGACAAGGGTTGCAAGGAGTTGATACCAGTGCTGATTTTGACTTTGCTGTCTCTATAAGTAATATAGTGTCTGGATCTGGGTTTCTTGTTCACCAACTGAATACATTAACCTGCTAGAGAATTCTGAAGACTTAATAAAACAAAACAAAAAGAATATTAAAAATCTCATTAATATAGGTTGAGAAACTCTTATCCAAAATGCTTGGGACTTAAAGTATCTTGGATTTTTCCAGATTCTGAAATATGTGCATATACATAATGAGAAATGTTCAGGACAGGACCCCAAGTCTAAACACAAATTAATGTATGTTTCATATACGCCTTATACACATAGCCCGAAAGTAATTTAATACAATAATACAATATGTAAAGTATTGTAGCATTTTTATTGTGACTTGTTACAAGTTCAGGGGTATGATTTTCCACTTGTGGTATCATGTCAGTGCTCAAAAAGTTTCAGACTTTGGAGCACTTCAGATTTCAGACTTTGGATTAGGGATATCTACCTATAACTAATTTATATTAATTACATATTGTAGTGCTAACATTTTTATTATATGGAAATAAAATATGTTATAAATTAATTTCACTTGTTTATACTTTTTAATATGGCTGCTGGGAAATTTTACTTTGCATATAACTTGCATTACATTTCTATAGGACAATACTGCTACGGATTTGTGAGAAGAAATTGGTAGTAGGGAAGAGAGACTGACAGGGTTTTTAATCTGCCAGAAAATAGCATTTGAAGAAACTATCACTATCACTTCATTGGGACATTTTAACACCAAAAATATAGATAGCCATAATCCCAGAATAAACGTTAGACCTTTAAACTGAATAAATGTGCTTTCGCCTCAGTCTCGAGCTCTAGCTGGCCACCGAGCATACACGCTCCAGGATCTTCAGTGCTCACAGCAGCCATCAATGTCGCTGGAGTTCCTCAAGACTCATCTGCGTCACCTGCCCACCGTGCACACTGCCATCATAAGCCGCCATCATGGTGAAGCTCGCTAAGGCTGGTAAAAATCAAGGTGACCCCCAAAAAATGGCTCCTCCTCCAAAGGAGGTAGAAGAAGACAGTGAAGGTGAGGAAATGTCAGCAGATGAAGAAGATGATAGCAGTGGAGAAGAGGTTATCATCCCTCAGAAAAATGGTAAGAAGGCTGCCACAACTCCAGCAAAGAAGGTGGTAGTTTCTCCAACAAAAAAGGTTGCAGTTGCCACACCTGCCAAGAAAGCAACAGTCACCCAGGCAAAAAGGCAGCTGCCATACCATCCAAGAAGACCGTTACACCAGCCAAAGCAGTCACAACACCTGGCAAGAAGGGAGCCATGCCGGGCAAAGCGTTGGTAGCAACTCCTGGTAAGAAAGGAGCTGCCACCCCAGCCAAGGGGGCAAAGAATGGCAAGAAGGCCAAGAAGGAAGACAGTGACGAGGAGGAAGAAGACAGTGAGGAAGATGATGAGGATGAGGATGAGGAAGATGAGTGTGAAGAAGAAGCTATGGAGACCACACCATCCAAAAGAAAGAAAACTCCTGCAAAAGCTGCACCTGTGAAAGCCAAGATTGTGGCTGAAGATGAAGATGAAGAGGATGACGAGGAGGAAGATCAGGAGGATGAGGAGGAGGAAGATGACGAGGATGAGGAAGATGAGGAGGAAGAAGAGCCTGTCAAAGAAATTCCTAGGAAACGAAAGAAGGAAATGACCAAACAGAAAGCAGCTCCTGAGGCCAAGAAACAGAAGGTGGAAGCCACAGAACCAACTACATCCTTTCATCTGTTGGAAACCTGAATGATAACAAATCTATTCCTGAATTTAAAACTGGCATTAGTGATGTTTTTGCCAAAAATGACCTTGCTGTTGTGGATGTCAGAATCGGTACATCTAGGAAGTTTGGCTATGTTGACTTTGAATCTGCTGAAGATCTAGAAAAAAGCTTTGGAACTCACTGGTTTAAAAGTCTTTGGCAATGAAATTAAACTAGGGAAACCAAAAGGAAAAGACAATAGGAAAGATCGAGATGCAAGAACACTTTTGGCCAAAAAATTCCCCTACGAAGTCACTCAGGATGAATTGAAAGACGTATTTGAAGATGCCATGGAGATCAGAATAATCAGCAAAGATGGAAAAAGTAAAGGGATTGCCTACATTGAATTTAAGACAGAAGCTGATGCAGAGGAAACCTTTGAAGAAAAGCAGGGAACAGAGATTGATGGGCTGTCTATTTCTCTATACTACACTGGAGAGAAAGGTCAAAATCAAGACTATAGAGGTGGAAAGAATAGCACTTGGAGTGATGAATCGAAAACTCTGGTTTTGAGCAACCTCTCCTACAGTGCAACTTTAGAAACGCTTCAGGAAGTATTTGAGAAGGCAACTTTTATCAAAGTG